ATCTTCAGGAATGGCGCCAGTTTCTGGATCACATCACCGATACAGGGGGTGGCTGTCCTGCAGGAGGGGTGCCCCGGGATTGCCCTCAGCCTGGCAACCTCCTCTTGGTAGTCCAGACAGGGCCACATTAGGCCAGACCCTCTGAACCCCCTAAAACAGCCTTTGCACTGCACTTCAGGGTGCAGGCACGGGGCTGGGGGTGTCATCCTCACACGGGTGTGCCTCCCCCTCCTCAGACTGTGAGCCCCCTGAGGACAGGTGCTGTTCTTGTCCACTGATTGTGCCCCCTCACAAGGCCCAGCACAGTGCTGGGCACTCAACAGATGTTCAGTAACTGATGCTTGACTACGGGACAATAATGAGGGCCACGTGCAAGCACTGCTGAGACACCCTGCATGTCTCATCTCATCTCATTCTCACCACCCCGAAGGTAGGGACAGTTCCTAGCCCGTCTCAGAGATGAGGACACGGAGGCTGAGAAGGTAAGAACTTATCCAGGATCATCCTGTGGCAGCAGGGACTGTCACAGCAGAGCAGCGAGGAGCCACAACTCCAGAACTGAGCTGCCGGAGCTTGATTCCCAGCTGCCCCAGTTGCTCTAGCTGTGCTTTCTTGGGCGAGTCCCTTAGCCTTCCTGCACCCCAATATTCTCATCTGAAAAAACGGGAATGATGGTAGGCAATCTTACAGGTTTGTTGTTTTTTGTTTTTTTAAATTTTATTCTGAAAATTGTTAAGCAATCATAAAGTAAAAAGAATATACTGATGGACCCCTGGGGCCGGCCTATGGCTCACTTGGGTGAGCGTGGTGCTGACAACACCAGGTCAAGGGTTAAGATCCCCTTACCGGTCGTCTTCAAAAAAAAAAAAAAAAAAGATGGACTCCTGTATATTAAAAGTTACTAACAATATTCTTTGCCAAAGAATTTTTTTTTTTTTAAGATGACCAGAAAGGGGATCTTAACCCTCGACTTGGTGTTGTCAGCACCACGCTCAGCCAGTGAGCTAACCGGCCATCCCTTTACAGGGATCCGAACCCATGGCCTTGGTGTTATTAGCACCACACTCTCCCAAGTGAGCCATGGGCCGGCCCTCTTTGCCAAAGAATTTTAAAGAACATCCCAGACATCATGGCATTTCTTTGGCAAAATACATAAAGCAAGTGATTTTACCTTCTGAAAACAAAGGTTTCTTGTATGACCACAACACCATCATCACAGAGCAAGCTTATTTGAAGGTTGAGTGAGGTAATAGGTGTAAGGCCCAAGGCCAAGGACGTGGCCCATCACCATACACACACGCACATGCACACACACACATACACACAGCCTCTCAGTGTCATGGCCACACAGCAAGGGCATGGGCCTGACAGCCTTAACTCAGTGCCACCCCTGGGCCAGAGCTGCAGTCAGGGGGCCTTGGGGGCTCCTGGTGGACCTCACCAGTCATCCAGGCGCCGCTGCAGCTCTGGGAGGAAGAATTGCGCATGAAACTGGTAGATGGAGGAGATATTGGAGAAGATGAGCCTGACCACGTCCTCAGGGAAGGCCTTGCTGCTGCGGGCCTCCCTCAGCAGCTCCTGGAAGAACACCTGCAGCCACCCACCCGGGTCACTCACGGCTGCGAGGGAGCCACCTGCACACCCGCCCGGGGGGATCGGGGCCTCTCCAGTTTACTGAGTGCTCTCACCTCCTGAACCTCCCAGCATCCTCACAACAACCCCAGGAGGAGACAGGCAGGGAAGATTGTATTCCGGGACACTTTACAGATGGACAAACCAAGGCCTATTGATGCAGGGACTTGGCCAAAGGCTGGCAGTTGATGAATGTCAGAGACAGGCCTATCCTGAGTCTGTCCTGGTCTTGGACATCATCAGGCTAAAGCTGGTGTACTGATGTTCACTGATTTAATCCCTTAGGGCTCCTTAAGAAGGTGCAAAGGGGTAGGGCCTACCCTAGGGTAGCTCACTTGAAAGAGCGTGGTGCTGACAACACCAAGTAAAGGGTTAAGATCCCCTTACCGGTCATCTTTTTTAAAAAATAAATAAATAAAGCGCAAACGGGTGACTGATGGTGAGGGTGCTGGAAGGATAGCTGGCATGTACTTGGGCCGGCCCAGGCACAAAGGGTGGAATGGGGGGTAGTGTGAATGGACTAAATCCTGACTTCTACCTCAACCTTAGCTAATGGGGTTAAAGGGCTAAGACTTCCTAGGGTCAAACCCAGGGGTCCCAACTCTCAGCTCTGGTGAGGTGGGTGGGAAGGCAGAGCAGGGGTCGAGGGAGAAGACCCATGTACTAGGGCTCAGGTGGGGGTGTCCTGTCACTAGCCTGGTCTAGCAGGTGGAGGCGCGCCACATAGGCCTGTTCTGTCTCCAGCAGCTCCTGGACAATCCTCTTCTCCTCAGGCTCCTGCGGGTGATTGTAGACAGAGAAGGAAGAAAGGGAGAGACAAATTTGGTCTCTTCTGATGGGGACCGTGGTACAGTCTCCAAAGATGCCGCAGCGAAGCACACCTCCCAGTATTCACGCCTTCCTGCAGTGCATCTGGGCTGGCCATGGGATGGCTTCCACAGGGAATGTGGTAGTGAGGCTGTGACAGTTCTGGGCATAAGCCGTAAGGGGTCTGGAAGTTGCCACCTGTGCTCTCCTGGGAACTGTGAACCACCACATCAGGTGGTCTGGCTTCCCTAGTGGAGAGATCTTGTGGGGGTAATGCACAGAGAGTGCAAGTGGCCCACCCATGCCAGCCTCCTAGGTGAGCCCAGTCTTCCAGCCATCCCTGCCCAAGCACCAGGCTTGTGAGTGGATCTATCTTGGGCATTCTACCCCAGCCACCATCTGACTGCAGCCACGTGAAATATCCTGTTATGGACTGAATTGTGTCCCCCACAAATTCATATGTTGAAGCCCTAACCCCCAATGTAACTGTATTTGGAGGCGGGGCCTTTAAAGAGGTAATTAAGGTTAAATGAGGTTATATGGATAGGGCCCTAAATTGATAGGATTGGAGTCCTTATGAGAATAGGAAGAGACATGAGGGATGTGCATGCACAGAGGAAAGGCCATGTAAGGACGCAGTGAGAAGGCGGCCATCTGCAAGCCAGGGGCAGAGGCTTCTCCACAAATAAAACTTGTTGGCACCTTGATCTTGGATTTCTGGCCTCCAGAACTGTGAGAAAATAAATTTCTGTTGTTTAAAAGCCACCCAGTCTGTGGTATTTTGTTATGGCAGCCTGAGCAAACTAATACAGAACTCAAGTGAGACCAATAGAAAAACTGTCCAGCAGCAGCCCAGTCAACCCACAAAATTATGACAAATAATACATTGTTGTATTTGACCACTACGTTTTGGGGTGATTTGTTATGCAGTGATTGATAACCAGAGCACACTAGTATGATCATTTCACAAATGAGGAAACTGAGGCACAAAGAGGTTAAAATGACTTGCCCAAGGTCACACAATTAGTAAGCAGAAGAGCTGGGATGTGAACCCAGGGAGTCGGGCTTCCGTGTGCACAGTATCTTGCATCTAACCCTTGAACTCGACAGACGAGGAAACTGAAACCCACAAAAGGGAGGTGACCTGCTCAGGATCAGACCAGGCTTTAGTCTAAGGGCAGGAAAATTAGCACTTAGACCTCTATTTCTGGTTTGGAATTGTTGCCTCCTCCAGTGGGTAAACTGAGACCACACCCGGGAAAGGTACCAGGATCACAGGATGGAGACTGCTCCAAGTTCTGTGACTTTGAACAAGTTCCTTAAGCTGTCTGAGTTTCAATTTGCTTGCCTAAAAAATCCTACAGAGAGGGATACGTGAAATAATGCTCAGGGCACACAGTAGACAGTTAGTTGGGCAAAGGTTAAGGGGGGCGAATCTAGCCTCCAGCTGATCTTTGCTCACACAAGACCCCCACCTGGGAAATTGCTGCCTCTGGCTGGGGAAGACTGTGTGGGGAGGAGGTCAGTGGAGACGCCCCCCACATCCCCACTTCTACCCCAGCCCTCCAGCACCTGCATCCCTGGCCCAGGGCAGGTCCCAGGCTGGCAAGATTTCCTCCAGGCCCCGCTGGACAGCTTGTTCTTCAGGGAGCTCAGGTACCTCCTGCTGATGGTCCTGGGCCCAGACCCCAGGGCCTCCTCAATGTTGGCCTTCTCCTGTAGACCTGGAGGGAGGGGAGGCCTGCACCCAGGGCGGTGATGTGCATGTTCTAGGCTGTGGGCTCTGGGCACTGCTCCTGGGGTCCTAAGGAGAACAGAGCAGACTTAAGGGTTTCTTTGTCTGGAGAACAGAGAGAAAAGTAGCATGTCCCTGCTGGGGTTTTGGGGTGACTGAAGCAAATCTCTGGTGTGCCATGCCCCTGAGTGCCTGGCATTCTGTAGGAACTTGCTAAGTAAGACTTCCACTTCTCTTCCCCACGTCTTTCTTGGAGGGAACTCCAGTTTTCAAAATGAGTCAGTGTGAACTGTTTTATTCTCTGGGGAACTACATAGTTCCCTGTTTAAAATTCAGCTGTGTTTGGGAATCCCTCCTTCTGCAGACAGAGGTTTTTAAATGGCTCCCTCTAGGTCACCCTCACCTTTGGGCATCACCCCTGTTTCTAGTTTCTGACCAGTAACTTATACATCAAGGGAAGGTGGGAGCCATGGAACAAGCTAAAGTGAGGGCAGATCTGCTAAAGTTGGGGATTCCCACTGGAAGCTGTGGCCTCCACACCTCCAGCAGGGGAAAAAGCCAGGCTGGGAGCAGATTCCCTGTTCCCCTAGTGTGCAGCTTTGTGACTCTGCACACTGGGTCTGCAGGCCAGTTAAATTCTTTAGATGACAGAGGCCACCCTCACTGAATACATCCAGTGATTTGAGCTGTGCCCACTCCCCTTGGTGTGGAAAGGCTTGTGATGGCATCATAGGGTAGGCATCTTTATGAGAAAAACAGGCTGGGAGATGGAGGGCCAGACAGGTACAAAATCTCCAAAGCTTGACGAGAAAGGTTTTCATTACCCCATTTTGTGGCTAAGGAAACTGAGGTAAATAACTTGAAGCTTGGAAGTGGTAGAGGTGTAATTCAAACCAGGCAGGCTGCTCCTGAGCCTTTACCCTAAACTACCCCTCCCCATTTGAGTAAAGGAGAAGCAGGTCCAGAGAGTCAAAATGTCTTGCCCCAAGTCACACAGCTGGGTGGTGGCAGAGAGTGTGTTGGGACCCAGTCCCAGGCTGCTACTCCCAGGCTGTCCCACACCTCCCTTGCGCCCATTGCCTGGTTCCTCTGCCCATGGTTCTGCAGCTCATGGGAATAGCTGAGCCTCAGGCTTTCTGTTCTACATCTGGTTTCAGCTTCTGCATTTCTCTCCAAGTGCCCGAGGCCATCTTCTGTTTCCTCTTCACCCCCCAGTTTTAGATCAGCTAAGGCACTGGAGACCTCACACGGAAGCCCAAGCCAAGGCAGCTGACATGGGCCCCTCAGTCAATAAGGCTGGCTCTCACCCTCCTGACAATGCCAGCTCTGACTCCGCTCTGGTCTAAGGGCTGCCCCCGCCTGACAGGCTGCTGCCTGGGCAGAGCACAGCATGCTGAGGGGGTCAACCGAGTGTGTCTACTCCACACCTGGGGTGTTGGGTGAAGTGGTGCTGTCTCCCCACACCCAAGGGGTGGTGGGCCAGGAAGGTGGTGCCTAAGAGCTGTCCTTGGTGCTGAACAGGACGAGCTTGGCAAAGACCCTCGGAGAGGCAGGGTAAAGTCACCAAGCTCAGGAAGGAGAACTGACCTTCTAGGCCCACATCTATGCCGCCTCTACCTTGAAGCCCACAGGAGGCTTTGCTTGCCCTGAATGCCCTCAACACAGAGTCCTGGCCCCTCCTAGGACATCTATTGTCCATGACCTTGCATTGTGGTTATTACATGAGCTCAGCATCCAAAGACAGAAATCTTCTTGCATGCTCTTGTGTCCTCTACAGCTCTTACAGGATGCTGTGCTGTCCAGGTACCCCTTCAGGACTGAGGTCCCCCCTCCAGCTGCTGGTAGTATTGGGGGCTGACAGATTATTGGCTGAGTCCCTCTCTGGGAATTGCTTTGTCTGGAACAGAACTGCCCCACCCAAAGTCTAACAACTAGTCCACGTGGAGGTACAAATACCCAACCCTTTGCCTCAACTGGAACAACTGAGAGACATCCCAGCTCCAGAGCTCCCTGGGACGGGCTCTGTCCCAAGTGCACTGCAGTTCAACTTCTCCCTCTGGCCAATCCCACTTCCTTCACTGCCATGGGTGTTGTGCCCAAAAGCTCTGACCAGTCAACCTCCTGAAGCAAATCTCTATCTCAGAGTCTATTTCCAGAGAACTCCATCTATGGTAGTCCCTAAAACAGTCCTGGGCTTAAGAAATGCCCGCCAAGGGGATTAACATGCT